CCCTCCAGAACAGGCCTACCTGCTCTGGTGGAGGCAGGAGGAAATGGCACGTGACCCTGCTGCAGTTCTGCTGTCGGTCCAAGTAACCCGGGGTTTGCCAACCAAATCAAGTAAATAGCCCAACACCGCCTCTCTCCAAAATCACATCAAGTCTGATTAAAGAGTCCAAGGAGTACTTTTTCCCAAACATGAATGGCTGGATCAGAATATCAAAGATCATCGATTTTTTTGTGTTTTATTTTATCTCAGAGAATGAGTTTAAAAAAATCCCTTATCAGCTTCTTTTTGAATGCCTGAAAGGGGAAAAAAAATAAAGGGCATTTATTAATATTAGCAGTAGTATTCCAAAGTGCATCGCATGCATTGTTATTAATATTATTCTAGAGATGCAGTGCCAGCAAATCATAGATACAGAGTTGGCAATAAATTAATTGGAGAACTAATAAAGTACTGGAAATTAGGAAAGATGATGAGATGGAAGAGATCAGCTGAGCAAAGAGAAGACTGAGAATGGCGTGTCTTCCTTGCAGTAATATGGTAATGAATATAGTGAAGGCAGAGTGGGAATACTGATCCTCACATGCTTCTCACAACTTGCCATGCTCGATCAAATTGCTGTAAAATTGCTAACGTGAGCAATTACAGGATGAAAAGACCTTTATGCCAATATAAATGCAGAGCACTGCCCCCTCTGCAATGATAGTTTCTAAATTGATACAGTATTATAGAGTGAGCTGGGCTTTGGCAAAGCTGGTGGCTCAAGCTCACCTGTGCTACTTTGAGCCTGTGTCCTCCAGTAGAGGACACAAGCCTAGGCACTGTATCAGAAAATCCAGGGCCTGTAAATACTACATAATGCATCCAGGGGAAAACAACCCAAACTCCCACATGACTTGGTGGGCTCTGGACGGACATTATCTCCCAGAAATGAGACTTGGTACTGTGGTAAATAGAGCCATAAAACCTCAGTTTCCCACTGTTTGATAGCCAAGAGAAAAATAAATCTAATATTGTGGATTATTTAGGAAGGAAATAGTGAAGAATACAACAAATGCTACTGTGCAGCTCTGCAGCTCTCAGAAAACAGCAGAAGAGGTTGAGAAAAAGCGCAAGGAGGGGTGACTGGGGTAATCAGGGTGTGAAGAGGTCCCTCTGTAGGCAGAACAGCCAAGAGATACTGGGCTCCTGCAGGACATCATAGAGTTGGCTGCCAGGGGAGATGCTAAAGGTCTGTAAAACCATGGTCTATGCAGAAGGAAGGGCTTGCTGGTGGGTGACGAGCTGGAGGCTGGGAGCCTCACGTGAAACTATTGGGCATTCAGTTCAGAATAGTCCAGAGGGGACAGTTTGTCAGGCACACAGTGGTTTTAAACTGACAGAGGGCATGTTTGTATTAGATATTAGGAAGAAGTTCTTTACTCAGGCGGTGGTGAAGCACTGGCACAGGATGCCCACAGAAGCCGTGGATGCCCCATACTTGAAGGTGTTCAAGGCCAGGTTGGACAAGGCTTGGAGCAACCTGGTCTGCTGTAAGGTGTCCCTGCCCACAGCAGGGGGTTTGGAATGAGATGATCTTTAAGGTCCCTTCCAGCCCTAACCATGCTATGATTCTGTTACAGTTAAGTTGGGGAACTCTTTGCCATGTGAGGCTGTGGATGCTAAAATTTGCATGAGTTTAGGATGAGGCTGGACAGATTTGCAGAGAAGAAATACAGTGAGTTAAAAATGAAACCGACCTGTCTGTGTCAGAAAGTTGCTGAGGAGGCAACTCTTTGGAGAAGGCCGGGAGAGAATATTTTCTCCCTTTTTTTAAGTGCAATGCCATACCACATGTGAAGTTAGGGCAGAACCCAAGGAGCAGAAATGGAGGCTGACCATTGTCCTGGCAGGATTTGGTGCTGAGAAGGTGCGACCTGATATGTGGAGTCAGACTGCTCCTGGTTTCACTGGAGGCCATTGTGAGAGGCTGCAGGTCTCTGAATCATGGTGGGTTTCCATTTTGACTCATTGTCAGAGACTGGCACAGTGTTATATATGTGTTCTGTTATATACATGTGTGAGAGTACATCTCCCTAAGTCCTCTCAAACAGGTCCTTTTCGAGTCAAACACTTGATTCCTGGGACAGTTTCATGTGCGTGGCACTGGGTCTGATGTGAAGCCCACGGGGACCCGTGAGCACCTCTATCCTGGTACTCAGTCAGGCTGTAACTGGATTGTAAAAGTGACCTATATCTTTTGCTCCGTCTCTCAGGCTCTCTTTGCGTAACCATCCATAGGTGGTCTAAATTTACCACTGCAGTGTGAAAACCTGAATCCACAGGCAGAAGTGGGTCTGCCTATTTAAACTGCTTTTTGTCCTGATTTCAGAACTGTGAGCAAGACTTGCGCTTGCCAGTTTTGTCAGCAAAGCTCAGCTGGTGAATATTTTCTTTTATGACCATTTTTGTTTCTGGTTCATGGCTATACCAGCAGGAGCTATGGTAGGGACCAGCAAAAGAATGCCTTAGAATTCCTTGTTTTACTTACTGACCTGGGTTTGCTAGGCTGGCAGAAGTGGCTCTTACTTTTCAGTATAGTTCTGGTTAGGCTGAGAGGCCTTCAGATGCAGGGACTTTCTACAGCTGTCTTACCCATAATGAGTGCAGCACATCTCTCAGGGCAGATGTCATGTGGCATCTGGCTGACCACTTCTGGAGCAAACAGGATACCTTTGCTTTTGGAGACAGCTGAGACAAACAGTTTTAAAACTGTGTTTAAAATGGGCTTTGTTAATCCAGGAATCTTAATCTAGCACTGGGAAGGTGACATGTGCTGCGTGTTACCCACTTCTGTGAGTTTTTATGATGGAGGTTGAGTTTTCCTCAGGGTGCAGCTGGTTGGAAGTGCAAGAAACTGTTGTGTTTTCTGGGATTTGAGAAGATCAGCTGGGCAGAGTGTCCCAGGGATGCAGGGTTATGCCCAGGATGCTTGGGCAGCAGTGTACGATGAACAAAGCAGAAGTGCAGTTCAGGACAGGAGGCCAGTGGTCAGCAGTGGCTGGTTCTGCTGCTGGGAATCCACCTGGGAGAGGGATTATTTCAGTGTAAGCGAGATCCCTGCAACTCTGGGATGCAGAGCTCACATAATTCATCCACTAAGGGGATGGAGCAAGAGCAGTAGCTTATCACTGCTGCTTATAATAGAGATGCTGTGATTTTTTAACTGTGGTATTATTAGAAAACTTTCTGGAATGGAGAGAGTATTGTGTTAAAGTGTCTCCTGAATCAAACTGTTGTCTCATATGGCTGTTTCTCTCAAGGTAGTGATAATGTTCCCAGAGAGAGCAGGATGGGAAAACTGTAAGTCTCTTGATCACATCTTCCAAGATCATCATACTTCCTTTTTGTTAGATGCAAGCTATTGTAGATGTGTTCCTCAGTTACTCATGGTGGTTAATACCAAAACACTTTAGCACATCGGTGTTTTGAGCTGCTGGTTTTATGGCCAGGTGTTTGCTGTCATGATTAAGCTTTTGTAAAATAGGTCTTTATATATTCTGCAAAATATTAACAGTGTGCTCTCCCTGCACACTCTTCATTCATTGCTACGTAACAGCAGAGAACAATTTAGCTCCCTGGAAGTGTATTTCAGTAAGACAGCAAGTGGTCTGTGTTTACTTATGCTGTACAATTCAGTGATTGTACTGCAAATCTTGGCCAAGTTCCTGAATATTTGGGGCCTAAAAACAAGCTCTTAAATTCATATTTAGGCTCCTACACAAAAGGTCTTGTTTTTCAGCTGTTGAGTCCATCCTGACTCTTACTGAGTGTTTGGAAGCCAACGGTCTATAAGCATTTTGAAAATTGGGCCTGCTATGTGTTTCCATGCCTGTATGGGGGAGCTAAGCTATGGTTTAGACTCCTTTTAATGTTTTTAGTATTGCAGAGCTTGTTTTATTCTATAGATTGCGGTAATTCCTACTGGGGCTTATTCACATTCACAAACTATCAGTTTGGATTGATTAAATATCCAATGAAAAGGTTGTCAGCAAGGTTGCTATTGGAAGACTTTGCTGGGAGATGAAGAGATGCACAGAGTAGGAATATTTCTGGCAAGTCACTGGGCTTTTTTCATAAAAGGGTATGCTGTAAATACCATCTTTCATGTAACATATGCTTCACTGCCTGTGGCTGACAACAAACCTGAGTGAAGTAGGGTTCATCAGAAAGGCTGATTTTGCCCTGAGTATTCCTGGGAGCTCTTCAGTGCCTCTTGGTGAGGTTTTTCTCCAATGTGTCAGTGCACTAAGGCTTTCTTTCCTTTCTCTGTGTTATAATTTCAAGGAAAGTCTGATTCATTACTTCAGGGGCTGAGTTAAATTTCCTCTGGACCATTTTAAAAGAAATCATATAAGCCTCAAATACTTGTGCTGGCTGCAGTGGCAGATGTGTGAAAGAGTGGGCATTCGCTTTACTTCGTGCCACTCATCCTGGAGAAGAGGAGGCTCTCCTTAATCTGTGGGCTTAGAAGCACAACAGAAGGACTTTTTGACCTAAGATGAAACAATGACAGTATTCCTGTGGAAGCACAGCATGCACATGGATGCTTCTGGAATATATTACTGGGGATAACTTGTGCTTTCTTTTCAAAAGAATATCATACCAATGCCTTAGAGGGAAAAAAAAGTCTTGTGTGATGAGGGGAAAGAGAAGGAATTATTCTTGATAGTATTTAAAAGTAGTTAAATTCAAATGGCCCTGGAATGGAAGGATTTAATATATGGTAAATCAGCAGAGTGATCTGGCACAATTGCAAAGGCAACTTTGGAAGTGTTTCTCATTTTGGTCTCTGAGATCATTCACTTTTGCTATTCACATGCCCCAATGGATCAAAATTTGCAGCATTTTCAGTTGTCAGTATGCATTTATTTTCTTAAATATGAGCTGTTCCTGAGAAAAAAATTTTGTTTTGTAAACGTTATTTGGCTGAGACTGACTGCATGTTTCCATTCCTCTTGCAGAGGCACAGCAATAGCTGGAATTGTTTTTGGCATAGTGTTTATAATGGGAGTGATAGCTGGGATTGCCATCTGTATCTGCATGTGCATGAAGAGCAACCGTGGGACTCGAGTAGGGGTCATCCGGACCACGCACATCAACACCATCAGCACGTACCCAGGTAAGGGGGCAGTGTGACAGCCCTGCAAGAGTGCCTGTGGTCATGGCAGGAGTGTTGTCTTTGGGTGCTTACAGCTCCACAGTGAGCGAGAGGTGTGACTACAGCAGGGGGCTCCTCTCTGTCCGGAGGGGGACGGCACAGCTCCCTGCTGAGGAACACAGCACAGCTCCGTGTGCACAGTGTCTGTCAGTGCATCACTCTGCCCGGGCTGATTTATTCAGCTGCTCAGTGGGCTAATGAGGTCTGGCCAGGTGCCACACTCACACAGCTGTGTGCCTTGCGGTGCCTGCAGGAGCGTGTTGAGTCCTCGCTCAGGGCAGTGCTGCATTGTACAGGACAGACCTCCCTGAGCCAGAGGCTCTCTGGCAACAGATCAGTTGTTCTTCTTTTGTGATCTGGTTCTTGTATTTGTTCTTGTTCACATGTAGCCAGCTCCTTTCCATTGTCCAATATAATGGGGGCCCGGCACACCACAGAGAGGGGAAAACTTGGACAATAAGGACTGTGGGTCAGAGTGCAAAGGCTTAAAGTGGTGATGTGGGGTCTAATGCAACCTGACCTGGCTGGTACTTGGCCAGAGCTCTTGAGCCGTGCTGGGGGCTGCAGATCCCCCATGACTTCTACAAAGGCCCCCTGGGCGTCTCTGCAGGGTGTTCTGTGCTGTGTGTCCCAGGAGGGACTGCTGGCTGGGATGCAGGGCTGGATCCAAGTAGCTCTCTGTATCTGCCTGGCACCATGCCTGAACTGAACTGATAGGAGTTTGGAGAGTGGTCATAGATCTTAGAATGGCTTGGGTTGGAATGGACTTTCGAGATCTTCTGGTTCTAACCCCCTGCCACGGGCAGGGACATGGTGCAGAGGTACCTGTTGTGCCTTGGACAAAGTTGGCTGAGTACTGGAGTTCTCAGTTCAGTCTTCTCTGTGGGTTCACACTGTTTTGATGTAATGGTTTTTTAGGTGCAGGCAGCAGCAGGGGAGGTGCAGAGCCTAAGCCAGGTCTGGCACTGAGCTGATAAGCTGTCACAGGCTCTGGGGCACCCCAGAGGACAGCAGGGACCCCTCGTGGGTCTGGTGCAGTGCAGTTGTGTCTGTAATGAGTGCGAGCTGGTACATCAGGCTATATCTGAGCCAGCTCTGTTGCAGAGCCACCCACTGCACCACACTTGTCAACTCACACCAGTCTGGGACTGGGGAACAGGAGCACCAAAAGAGGTGGCACTGAGCCAGCTGGAGTCTGCAAGGCTCATTTGTCTGGACTCCCCACCTAGCACATGAAAGTAGCTGCATTGTTGAAGAGCAAAGCAGACCCTGGAAGCAGCATAATGATGTTTATGCAGTTCAGTGACATTGTTAATTATAAATCCAGGAGCGATTGCCTTGGGATAACTCTGAGAGTTCACAGTAATAAAATGCAAAGGTGTTTCATGCATGAAGTCCCTTCATCCCACTCTTAGAGATTCCCTGCCTTTTTATTCCCTCCTGTTGCAAAGGTTGCAGCAAACCCCAGGTGGATTATGTATACTTATAGGCAAGCTATGCAATATTTGTTATGTATTCCTTTATCACACTTACCAGTCTTAGTGTCTGTTTTCTCCCTCATGCTCTTACTTTACAGTTAAACTGAAAGCCTCCATAATCATCTTTGTAATTGCAACATTGTTTTGCATAGAGAGATGTGAAATGACAGAAAACAGCAATATTCTCAACCATGTATTGCTGAAGAGCTACTTCAGAAACTCATAGTCGCTGCAAGCTGTAAAAAGAAGAGCAAACTGAAAACTCCAGGGTTCTAGCCTTTTCCTCCCCAAGTCTGCTCCTGCAATGACTCACCCTTATCTCTCCACCTCCAGGCAGTTTGACTCCACAGGCTCCCAGTTCCTGGTGCAAACATTAGTTCGAGCAGTTCTTCCTCTCAGCAGCAGCAGCAGATTTTAGAGGATGGGGAAGCTCTGAAATGATTTTTGTGTTCCCCGCTGTCATGAACACTTTTGGAGTAATGATTGATCTGGCTTTGGCTGAAGGGCTTGTGACCAACCCTCCCTCTGTTTTGGACAGGAATGGCCTCAGCCACAGCAACAGCCCAGTTTTCGGAGAGCAGGGCGTGCTTTCCATGGTGCACTGGGATTTGAGTCTCTTCCCCTCATCACAAACATCCTGGGCTTCTGTTTTCTCTCTATGCAAGTGCTATTTCACTGCCAGTCTGCCTGAGACATCTAGGGAGGGAATAGGAAAGCATCCGTGGTGACATAAATGGAGACATGAGCAGACTCAGGACCTTAACAGCGACATGGTCACATGAGCAGACTCTGGACCTTAAAGTTTTAGAGACTACTCTAATGGGATGTTGACATGGGAACCTGCAGTTCCTACCATGCTGTCATTCTGCAGCATTTACTGTCTTCTGTCACTGAACAGATCTGTCTTCTCTAAGGTGAATAGAAGTAGTTGAGAAAATGTTTTCAGTTGCTTGTGAATATTTTTGTTGTCTCCTAAATGCCTGACCGAGTTTACAAATGCTGGACTCTCCTCAGATGTCCCCATGGGTATGTATGAACAAGGGGAAAGCTTTGTTCTTCCTCAGCTCGAGCCATGGTGGGATGTCCAGTGTTTGCCCTGGGAGGTGAGATGCTGCTGTGCTTGCCGTGTTGTGGAATGTCACACATCTCCTGGGGATCCAGAGGGTGTTTGAGAGATCTGTGGAAATCAAGAGCCCTGGCTGCCCTGTCGTTTTGGGACAACATACATTCCGTGTTGCTGCTGAAGGAGGTGGAAGGGAGTGGATCTGATAAACACCCAGCCTTCCTCCCATGGCGACATCTGCTATACAGACATTCAAACACTGTTAGCAGCACAGCGTGTTGGTGGCACACGGCTAGGAAGGGAAGGGAAGGGCAAAAAGCGAAGACTCGCATTGATGTGAAGTGACTGTATAAGGGCAGCCTGAAAAACAACTGAGTGCATTGCCAGGAGATTTTGTATCAGTTGTGTGGAAATCTGGATGTCAACAAGGAAATACTTGAGGCTTGCATCTGAAAAACAGATTTTTAACTATGTCTTTTTTTTTCTCCCATTGCAGTGGCTCCACCACCATACAGTTATGAATTCGAAATGGAGTACCCAGCTGACCTACCTCCACCTTATACTCCAACCCCACAGACTTCAATACAGTATCCCCCACCCCCTCCATACCCTGGATATTCAGGGAAATAATTACATGTCTTCACATGGATATTGAGTGCCTATTGCAACAGCCAGCACTGTTGGGACAGTGTTACCGGCTCAGGGACAAGTAGGGTGGGGTGTGCATCAACACGTATGGCCCAGCATTGGAATAACCTGGAAAAGTTGCCATAGCTCAGGATGAAGAAAAATCCTGTCCATTATGGACCGTCATGTTTTGTGATTAAACAATGCATGACCAAAGAAACAGTTCCTGTAAGTTGGTGTCTGCTGAGTGGTGCTCAGCATCAGTCTTATCTTCAGCTGCAGCATGTGGGAGTGGGGCTTTTCCTGTGTGGGAACATGCAAGTGGTGCAAATGGTTCAGCAAGCTGTTTCAAAAGCACAAGAGCCAGCTGCTGAGGCTTATTTCGGGGGGAAAACGCCAACTGTTGTCTTGAAGTAACCACTATGCCTTCCTTGAAACAATAAGGAATAAGGAAGAACAAGGAATACTGAAGCTGTTTTTGTTTTCCACTTCCAGCCAATAATAGCCAATGATCACTGTGCTTATTGGTCTGATAAGCATGTTACAAAGAGAAGTGCTGTTGGAGTTATGCAGTAACTAAAAAACGATGGGTATTATTTTTGGCCAAGTGCAGGTTGTTTAAATTGCCGACAGTTTGAGACTAGTTTGTAAACTAAAGTGTTAACATAAAGAGCATTTTTGTATGTGAAATACACTAATTTATAGCTGATTTACTTTTGCCTGGACTTAAATACTCTATACATAGGAAATATGCTACAATGCCTTTTTTATCAGCAAATGATACTTGGATTTTATTATAAAAATACTGAATTGGCAAAACTCACAAGTGGTAGAAGAAATGCAAACCAAATATTAAAACATCTCAGGTTTGTCTTCAGTTGGATTGCATAAAGGCTTTTTTTTTTTCCAAGTCATACTGTTTACCGGTAATAAGGATATTCAGCCTGACCAAAGAGATGAGCATAGAGACTGTGAGGATCATGTTACTTTTGAATGTTGTCTTGGGCATTTTAAAAATCTAGGTCACTAAGTAATACTTTTTGCATTTGTCATGCATATTGTTCAAAATTACTTATTCTTTGCTATGTACAGTCCAGACCTTTATGATTTAAAATGTTCCATGTCTTTAGGAGGCTAACTATAATTTAGCAGCAGCTGTTTGACTTCAGAAAAGAATATTCTATTGCCTAAAGCATCATCCTTCAGTGGTAAGACTGTTATTTTTCTGAGATTTATATGCAAACTACAAACACGGTGGTTCTCTTCAGCGGTGTAAAAGTGCTGAATGCCCTTAGTTTGAATTGAGTGTCTGGGCAGTTTAAGAATGCTATAGCCAAAAATACAGCACCTGGAGTTCAGGACAGCCGTGACATCAGGTCCATCTCAGAGGGAGAGACTGAAAGTTACTGCTGATTCCCGGAGATCAGAATGCATTTAAATGTTTTCCATTGTAGCCCTCATCTTATTTTCAGGTGTATCCACGTAGTAATGAATAAAAAAGCAACTTGCAAGACATGGTACCATATCCCTGTGGAGTCAACTGACAACTTCTCATTACCCCCCAAGTCTGATACTTTGGGCATTCAGTCCTCATTCAGGGAAGAACTCAAGCAACATTTAACTTTGAGCATAAAAGTTATTCAAAGGCATTCTCAAAACAAGACCTTACTGACTGTTCTTGCTCAGGTTTTGCGGTTGTATTTGTCCTTTGCAGGCTGACTAAACTTATCCCCTCGAAACCCCACTTAAAAGCACAGATGGCCTCAGTCCTCATCAGTACAAGTTCAGAAGATCTGTGTTGTGGCCCTTGGCCAAGCTGAGCCTTGGGTCATCAGCCCATTAGCTACCAAGGCATTTGTGACCCAGTCGGAGGAAAACTGAGCTGCATCCCAGGTTTATGGTTGCTGCTGGTAAACAAGACTCAAATTCTCATTTCTGTTTTGCTGTTCAGAGGTGACAAGTCCTGAACTGGCTTATCCTTACAATTCTGCTCTGTGCTGTCTTCTGTGACATTTCAGCTGTTGCCCGACCTCTCAAGAGATCCCAGTTGAAATCCTCCCATGAAGGGGGCAACCTTTTGCGTGCGGTGTTTTGGCAGTCCCTACTCAAAACCGTCTGCTGCTATCGATGTGCCTGCCAACATCGAGACCAGCATGAAGAACAGAATAAACATAGGTTTCCCTGCAGAAAACCCAGTTCCTACTGCATCATTTTATGCTAGTACCTCAGCACTTTCTAGTTGATCACACTGGATGATATTTTGGTGCCAAAAAATTACCTGTAGATAATGAGTATTGTCATTTTCTCATTCCTGTATTTTATTTCTTTGTGCGGAACATCAAATCAATGAACAGTTTGTATGTGTTGAATCCATTCTTCTGAAGACTACAGAGAAAGAAAACTATCCTACAGATCGTAAATCTTCCCTGAGAGAAAGAATTTCTCCAGCTGTGACATTTGTCAGAACAAGTTATGAAACAGATTTCTTACTTAAAAAGGAATTTCTGGAAAATTACTGAAAGTCTTTGATCACAGAGTCCCCTATTTCTCAGCCTTGGGATTATGTGTTGCCTCTGATGATTTTGCATAAAGGTCATAGTGACCAAAGTACCTACAACGTTTACATGACTTATTCCAGGGAAAATTATGGAAATGGGAAGTTGAGAATTTCGTACTGAGTGAGAGCTGTTTGCTTTGAAAACAGCAGTGGGAATGTTGATTTTTGATGTTAATTAATGTTCTGCGGATCCACATAATACTGGGACATACCAGACATTGATTTTAATTTCAGAGGACACCACATGTCTTGTCCTTGCTAAAGGCATAAAACATAGGTGTTACCATTTCAGCAAACCAGGTAGAACTAGTACAGAGTAGCTTAATTTCAGAAAGAGGTGATGATTGCAGTGAAAATAAGTAAAACTGAGAGAAACGGAGAGGAGGAGGGAGTCTGAGAGATTTACAAAAGCAAAGGAATAGAACAAAGAAGTTGCTGCTAAACAAATGGAAGCACTTGCCAATAGTGAAGTTATATTAGTTAAGTTTAGTTGAAAAAATTGAAGTGTTCCAGTACCTAAAGGGGGCTACTAGAAGCCTGGAGTGGGGCTTTTTACAAAAGCGTGTAGGGGACAAGCGGGAATGTTTTCTGAGGGTAGAATTAGATTACATATTAGGAAGAAATTCCTCACTGTGAGGGTGGTGAAACACTGGAACAGGTTGCCCAGAGAAGCTGTAGCTGCCCCATCCCTGGAAGTGTTCAAGGCCACTTTGAATGGGGCTTGGAGCAACCTGGTCTAGTGGGAGGTGTCCCTGCCCATGGCAGGGGAATGGAATGAGGTGAGCTTTAAGGTCCCTTCTAACCCAAACCACTCTCTGGTGCTATGATTCTTTGTGTGGAAACATGTAACTTCTTCAACACCTCTGCATTCAAAGTTCCTGCAGCGCAGATATTGCCAGCCAGTGGTCCCTTATTCTGTCTGACAGGAATAGCTTGTGGATCAATGCATTAGTACAAAGAGTTTTTACTTAGTCACATGGACTTTTTTCATCTCATTGCCCTACATCATATTGTAAAGAAAAAAACCCTCAAATCTGAACATGTAATCTGTGGCTGAGAAAGGCCAAAGGATCTTTTGCTTTTCTCTCTTGGCAGCAGACATTATCACTAATTGGTTGGTCAGTGTAGTGTTGCCCTGGATGTTCATGGACTTGAACCAAATGCTGCTGGTCTTACAGTGTCAGGCTGCTCTACCTTTGGTTCACAATTTCTGGTCTGCACTGGGGAAGCCGAGAGGGAAGGTCTCCGTGTGAGGAGGACAGGACCTGGTCCCGTGAGCCTTTCTCCTTGGTTTCCTAGTTTAGCACATTAGATGGCTGCCTGGTTGCACAATTGCTGTTAGGGATTGGAAGCAGCAGGAATTGCAGGTGCTTACAAGGGCACATATGCTGGCATATGCTCTGCTGCCAGTCCTCTTTTGTGGGAAAAAAAAAATCTGTGTGATGTCTTAGTCATGTATTGGGGATATTTCAAGCCGTGATTCATTTCACAAACTTGATTTAGTCTGGCATTTCTTTAACTTTTTTTTCCCCCCAGAAAGAGCTACTTTGAAACCAGCTCACTCTCTGACAGCCTACTGTTTCTAGGGTATATACCAAACAGCAGGAGACATCTCTTTAAGAGCTAATGACCCATTTGGGAGACTTTACAAATTAGGTAATAACCAGTTGGAGGAGTTAGAAGGCCAAGGTAAAGCCAGGGGAAGTTAATGGGGTAGACTACCATTACCTAAATTACATACTCTGATGAAAAGATCATTAATGTTATTATAAGCCATTTTTAATTAATGAAAAATGTAGCTATTTGCTTTCTTAATGTTGGTAACTTTGAAAGATGCAGTTTTACCAGTGTACTAGACCAGATTTTCAATAGTGCCACAATGAAAAGATTAGTTTGCTCTGTAGAGCACCGGGATCGATATTAACAGTGTTCTTGATATAGCAGAAATAGAGTCTTTCAATTTAAAGCAAATGTTCTCAAGATTTCATTTGTGAAATCACAATGATATTTTTTTGGATGTAATGGGATAGTTCATAAAGCACTGATGGCTGTCTATTAGAATAGTAAATATTTAGCATTTCTATATTCACTTTCATCCTGGAAGCTCTCCAAATGCTTTAGTAACTAGAAAAATAATTATTTTAGTCACTGTGGGATAAACCCAATAGATATTTAACAGCACACAGTAATAGTGTCTAACACCCTGGGGCAGAAATTGCACAAAAGAATTAAGGGCATTTAAATATATTTCTTGTGTTTCCCTGAAACATCAATATTTGGAGAAAACACCTCAAGAAAATAATGACCAAAAGCTTGTATCAGGTGGCTCCTGTGATTACTTTCCAATGGGTACACCCATTTTTTCATTGCAGCAACGTCTGAGGAGCCCCAGTCCAAGCCTGACTTGTGGTGCAGCCATTGTAACCCCCCTCCCAGTCTGTTGTGATTTTAGTGTACAGCCAAAATGGACAAACAAGCAGAGGACTGAAGAAAGGAGAGGCGATGGTCCCTCATTTCAAAAAGGGAAAGAGAGATGGAGAAAAGCAAAATGGTCAAGACTTTTTTTGTTCTTCAGAAGACAGCTCAGTGTCACTTTATGAAGAGAAGAGTGAGCAGGGAGTATGTTGAAGAGCTGCCATAGAGTCAGGAGAACAGCCAAGGGAAGGATCTAGGGAGCTCCAGCTCCAGAATTGTGTAGTTTAGGGTTCAGGAGACAGTAACTAGTTTTCCAGTTTGCTGCGAAGATTAGATGGTCAATATTTACCCAGCTCTGAAAATGAAACTGGTAATTATTTTGTAATGCTGTGCACCATTAATATTTCCATCCATAGTCGGGAGTAGGAAAGGGCAGGCTTTGGATGCCATTGCTACCACAGTGATGACTAAGAGTGGACTAAAGCCAACAGAAACAAAAGGAAAGCCAAAGACTTAGGTGTTTCTGAAGAAAGTGTTTTTTAGGGTTTTTTTTGTCAGCCGAGCATATGGAGCTGGTTCCTCCATGGAGGCAGGCTGGCCTGCTGCCAGCAAAGGCAGCTGATTTTAGACAGCTGAAGCCTGCAGGAGGGAGGCTGGAGTGGGAACTGTGTAGTGCTGGTTTTCCCTCGGCCTGTGACTTCACCTGACCCCTCTGCTCACCTGCAGGAAGGAGGCCTGGTGGGAGACTTCAGGGCAGTCCTCCTTTCTGGCATGAGTGCCAAGCTGGCCATCTTAGCTCATGACCTTCGCAACACATCCCTGATGCGTTCATTTTCAGGAACATGGGCAAAGACATTTTTTCATGACCAGTAAGCAATGCCCACATTTCTCTCAGTAGATCCCACGTTGTATTGGTGGGAAGTCCTCCATTACAGGAACTAATCTGGGGACTGGTACCACCTTTCCCCAAGGTGTTTTCTCCCATCTTTGTATATTACAACATATTTACCAGTGGCTCATCTCATCGCCCTTATTTTACATGCTCGCTTCAAATCCCTCAGGGCTGTGTCCTTATTTTGTTGCTGCTTGCCAAAGAGCTTTTCCAAAGAGCACTGCTCGCAGGGAAAACACCTTCCAAGCAGACCCTTTCTCCCCTGTATCACCACCACAGGGAGTCTTGGCTCTGCAAATCATCCATACCCTGGTGTTAAGCATCACCTTCTCTGCAGGGGAGGAAGGCCAGCTGTTCAGCAGCTACCCTGAGTTCACTCTTAGCCCAGACTTTGCTTGTGATGAGACTCTGCTTTCTCTCCAGAAATCCAAATGTGGTCAGTAAGTTTAGAAAGAAGAAAAAGAAGTCAAGCCCATGTCTGCTGTCTGGTTTAGCTCAGGTCTGAGGGATGTCCTTTTCCCTGTACTTTGTCACCTATCAAGTTGACAGCATTGCTGTCTCCAGTTTTTTGAATGTCGCTGTTTTCCTTTGCTGTAGAGCATCTTTAACAGAAGGGGAGGGTATGTTACAGGCATCTGTGCAACTGCAAAGCCCAAACATT